ACCGCCCAGAGGTTGAGGCTCAGAGACTCGCCAGATCTGCATGTCAGCTTCTTCGGTCTTTTTCATGTGTCCTTTACTGGGGACCAGCTGGTCCCTAAGCCAGCAGCATCTTCCTCTTCTCCATAGTTTATAGCTAAGAGCAAATAGGGATGGGGAATATGGGGAACCTGACCCGTCATTCACAAAGGAATGACATTAAAACTTTCTGAAGACCTTGTCCGGGAAGGCTGTGTGCCAACACCACTGGGTGCTTTACTATGTGCCTGGCATTTTGCTGTGTGCTAAGGCGAAAAATACATACAAAAAGTATAAGATATTGGATCTAATCTAGTGTTAAGGCGATCAGGCTTATGTAGGTCGAACAACTAGAGACGAAATAAGACAACCTGTAGTTGAACCTGTTACCTGGTTTAGAGATGAATGGGATTTTAAGCATGTAGCCACCCCAGGGCAGCAACAAGCAACATGTTTAGTGTGTTAGAGACTAGGCACGTGATCTCCTTATCCCAGAGCTATCAGTTAGGATAGCTCCAGGAAAAATGATAATAAACATGAGAGCAGCAGCTATTACTTATTCATTGCATCGAGTACTGTGCTAAATAAATTGTTCAAATGCATCGCCTCACTTGCTTCTCCCGACAAGCGTATAAGGTCTAGACTCATCTATCCTTGTTTTTATTGATGGAAAATCAAGGCTCCAAAAGCCTTCAGAAACATGCTCAAAGTTATACAGCCATCAAGGGGCAGTGCTAGGACTGGCATCCAGGTCTGTCTGAGGCCCAAACCCAGGTTCAACCACCTGTGTGTTAAATCAGAGATTGCAGCTATCTGTATGGTCCTCCCGCCGTCCAGCCGCACACTTGGAGGTTGATTGGTCACCGGCAGGAGCTGCTCTGTATTTTAAGTGTCAGCCCTGTGCTGGAAGCTGGACTACTCCAGAGAGCGAGAAGGCACCATCCTGAGGCTTTGGAGCTCAAAGCAGACCCTACAGACAGAGGTCCCAGTTTCCTCCCCTGGCCTCATCTTTAAAGATGCTGATTTTCTCCCCAAAAATAGCCATCCCTCTGAACAGGGCATCTGAGGATAGTTCTCCTTCAGCATCTCTAGGCAGAAGCTTGGCGGAAGGAATGCTCTTCCACCCACTTGCTTTCCTGTCTCGTGATGGTCCGTCCATCTGGCTCATTCATGTATTCATTCAACAAATTATCATTGAGCACAGACTCTGTCCTGCCGTGGTCAAGGTACTGAAGAGGGCAGGAAAATGAAAACGGATCGGTATGAGAGACAACACATTCACATAAAAACACTCATCTAAGTGTAAGGGGTGAGGACCAGGAGGAAAGCACAGGTTACACATCCTGTGTGAGTTTGAGAGGAGGGGTCACCCCCACATTTGGCAGGAGCGGAGGAGGGGTATGCGGCAAGGAAAGTTTTGAGGAGGCGGGGTTTGAGCTGGACCTGGAAGAGAGGGTAGGGTTTAAAAATGTGTAGCCAAAGCGAAGGACATTCCAGATCATGAGAATAGCACGGGCTTAAGCAGTGGGAGCGGGTCCATGTGTGGAAGAGAAGCAGTGGGAGTCAGGATGGCACTGGTGGGTGGTCTGTGTGCTGTGGCACAAGTCACATCAGTCACAGCCTAGCCCTTCTGGAAATAGGAGAGCTGGAAATAAGGCCCCAGAGGTCCTGAGAAGAGTCTTGACTCCTGAGTGGCTGGCCTAGCAGGGGACACACTTCCTACATTGTCCTGGGCTGCCTGTTGTTTTGGGAAGGCCCTCTATTGTCACGTTTACACCACCAACATTACTTCTCAGGCCTAGTCAGCCCAATGAACCCTAGACACATATGGCATCGGGGCTGGAAGGGAAGTTTACAGAGCATGTCACCCAGCGTTTAAACTTAAAAAGATAAATCTGTAGGATCCCACTATTCAAAGAGAATTACAATAACCTCAAGGAGAAAACAGATAAGCTGCTCCAGTTAAAGCAGGTTGGGGGGCGGGGGGCTGCCCATTCCATCTGCCATCACTCCCCACAGTAGCTCCTGGAGCACCCCTGGGGAATCTAGGACTCAAAGAATCACCCCACCCAACCCCAATTTCATTTTAAAGATGTGGAATCTGAGGCCTGGGGAGGAGACACAGGGGCACCTGACCACGTGATAATGGTCCAGGGAATCTCCTTGATCTTGTTTCTAAGATCAGGGGAGAAAGCCAAACTAAGTGCAGAGATGAAGGTGGGCCTCATTCTTCAGGTTGCATCTCCCTCCCTTAGTAGCAATGATGTTGGGGGCCTGGTGGCTAGAACAGCCCCAAACACCCCACTCTGTGGCCTGGTGGCTGTTGGCACTGTGCTGGCTCACCTGTGGCCTATCTCATCCTTAACCTACTGGAGGAGGGAAGTTGGACAGGGTCTATCACTATGGGGGAGACGGAAGGGGGGAAAGACACGCTGAAATCCGTCAACCTCAAGAGAAGGGCTCTTTGGGCACAATGGTTGTTCTCCACATGTGCTGGGCATTTTATTATTTATCAAAGCATTTCCACAGAATGATTCTATTTAATTCCTACAATTAGCCTGCGAGGTATATATTCTCCCCATTTTACCATTGATAAAGGTGAGAGTCAGAGAGGCTGGGTGAGTTAACATCATGCAGGTGGTAAGGAGGCAGAGACAGTCACCTGGGCCTTCTAACTCTGAGTCTACAGAGCATAGTGCAAGTGAGAGAAGAAGGTGGCTCTGTGTGCGTGTGTGTGTTTGCGTTTGTGTGTGTGTGTCTATGTTTTGGGAGGCTGCCAGGGAAAAGTGCAGAGCAAGGGCTGAGGCTGGGAGTATGCCTGTGAATTATTATATAGCAACTGTTCCTTTAATCATATGCATCTCACTTGAGACTAAAGGAGCCACAAGGGAGGGACTCCTGGACCCCAGTGCCTAGTTAAATGCCTGTCCCAAGGCAGGTACCTAGGAAATATCTGTGGCACAAACCTGATTAAAGAGAGTGTGCTTGTGACCTTGTTTCTGGGTGAAGTTGTCTCAACACTAGAGGCTGCCTTGCCCACAGCCCATCCTCTCTCCCAGGTCTGACATCTTCCCACGTCCTCTTCTGCAAATGAGGAGAAATAGCAACAAAACGCCCGCCAATGTGTAAAAGGGAAGCAATGAACATGCTTCCTTGCCCAAGGGTCCTTGTCACCCCTCCCCACCCCAGATGTGTGGAGTCAACCCCAGCTTTCCCCTTCGAAGTCCCCTGATCCTGCCTAGGTTCTGCCAGTATGAAGTGGCAATGGTACCCTCTGTTCTAGCATCTCCAGGAAACAGCAATCCTGATCCCTGGCGATTGCAGAGATTACTGGTGTGGGCTCTGGATAACTCTGGGATCAGTGCCCAACTCAGCACAGGAATAAAGAAGATATCCAAGCTCAAGACTCACACTGTCACAAAGGTCTGGACGGATTTCTCCAGCTCCTCGGAAAGCAAACTGGGTTGCCCATCCTTCCTTTACGGCCTGCCTTCTATCTCAGCCCAGAGGAGACAGAGTGTATAGCGCATGCTTTGACATACACAGCAATCTCTTCAAAGATACATAGCTGATGAGAAGCCCCCAAACCCGTGCCCCCTTCCTGCCAAATGTCCCAGAAACATTTGCATCTGAGTGCCCAGGAGGAGAGACATTCTGGGAGGCCGAGTCAGACAGCCAGCACTCCTCTGGGGCTTGAAACATGTGATTAGCAGACCAGGCATCTGCTACTGTTTCCCTCCCTGACATTAAGGGCTCAGCTTCCTGGCAGCAGCCCTCCCCTTCCTCCCCTTAATCCTGAGAGTTGGCTCCAGTTGCTAAAGGAGCCACTTTTAGGGTTCTGACAATAATCTTTTCACCACCAGCAGGCCTGGCATCAAACACAACACAAGAATGATGACAAGGCTGAAAAAGCAGGTCCACTTTATTTACAACGATCAGTTGGTGACACATAGATCTTTGGGCTTTTTGTGGCTTTGTTGAGAGACACCTGGACAGGTGCCCACTTCCTCTGTTGGGGTAATATACCCTCCTTCCTCATCCTGCTTTGAGAACAAGGAATGTGCTGTCAGGACCCCCCTGCTCTGACAAGCCTCAACTTGGGGACATCTCTCCAATGTCCACTTTCAGGGTAGTCAGTGTCCCCAAGCACTTGCCAAAGGTTGTCCTTACCTCCTCTGGAGGTCCTGTCTTGGTCTTGGTTGTGGGGCACCTAGTGGGGAACCACACACAGTCTGCCTGCAGAGAGATGCAGTGGGTGAGCAATCCCATAGAGGTGCCAGGCGCCAGGGCACAGGCTTGCAGTAGCTGCCTGGTGCAGAGCTGTTACCTGGCTTGATCTGTGGTTTGGGTTGGTGGGACCATCCCAGTTTTCTCCAGAGGCAGAGCAGTTAAGTCCTAATAGTCCTCCACTGGGTAGAGAGGCCAGGCATAGGGCCTGGGAATTTTTCTTACTGTATATGGCAGCGGATTCCGTTCCCACCTTGGGCTCGGCCTCAGTTCTCCAGGGTCACTATTCCTCCCCTGCAAGAATGCCTACCCGGGTTGGTCTCGTCCCAGGGAGGAAGGCTAGATTGGCCAAGGGTGGGGCCGCTGCCTCTACCTGGCCAGGGTCCAAGGCCACCCTTCTGGATTTCTGGAAACTTCTCCCCGCTTCCCTTCTCTTTTGGGAGGGAGGGGGTGGTCTATCAAAGAGACTTGGTGTAAAGCATAGGGGGCAATTCCACAACGGAGGGCATCCAGAAACTCCAGATGGGGGGAGGTGAACACTGAATACTGTTGCTCCCTCCCCCACACTCGTCCCCCAATAATCAAGGGTATATCAGGCGTCACCCTGAGCCAGGATGAGGCGCAGAGTGGACAACAACGCAGACCACGAGGGAGGCAAAGGCTGGGGGACCCGGGGAGGCCAAGCGGGCAGGGCCGGGGTTGGAGGCTGTAAATCAGGCCGGCCGGGTCCGGGGCCGCAAGTCCTGCCGGGTCCGCTCTCAGCGCGCCTGCCCCGCCCGCTCCCTAGGGCCGCCCTTCCCGCGGCGGGTCTGCGTGGACGGCGGTGGCGCCGAGGCGCCCCGCAGGCTGCATGTCCTCAGCTCCCGTGTCAGGCTGAGCACCTCGGGCCGCTCGCGTTGGGGGGCTCCTTCGTGGCTCTCCTCGGTGTCCTGGTCTTCCTCCTCGTCCTCCTCCTGGATGCTGCTGAGGCGCGGCACCCCACGGCCGCGCTCAGCGGGCGGTGGCCGATAGGCGCACTTGGCGTTGAGCAGCCGGCGCAGCGGGGCGCGGGGCACGGAGGCGGCTGCGCCCCCAGCGCGGAGGTGCTGCTGGCGCACGTGGCGCGCGTCGCTCTGGCGCTGCAGACGCTTGAAGTCGCTGAAGGCCGCCAGCGCGGTCTGGCGGAGCAGGCGGGCCAGGGAGCGCGCCTTGTGCGCCCGCGCCAGCAGCACGGCGTGGCAGCGCAACACCACGGCCTTGTGGCGCGCCTGGTGGCGGTAGACCCAGGCGAAGACGCGAGGATGGCGCCCGTCCGCCGTGCAGTAGGTGATGCGCGGCAGCAGGTAGGCGTGCGTCGGCCTGCGGCCCCCGGGCAGCCCCGCGGCGCCGCGCTCGCACGGCTGCATGCGGATGCCGTGCGGCCCCAGCGTCAGCTTCATCTTGGTGCCTCCGCCCGGCCCGCAGCGCGCCCAGATCTTGCCCACGGCGTCGTCGGTGCAGCCGTCGCCCTTGGCGTGCAGGGTGACGGCGTTGCCCAGGTACCACACGGTGTAGGTCGGGTCCTCCTTGTTGAGCTCCACTTTCTGGCGCCGGCTGCGGAACACGCGGCCCAGACGCTCCAGCGGCCAGTCGGGCAGCAGGTCTGGGCAGGAGCGCAGGAAGCTGGAGAGCAGCGACGTGTAGGCGAGCCCGGGACTCAGACTCTTCGCCTTGCACTTGGCCTCATCCTCCACCAGCACGAATTTGTTGCGTCTCCAGGGTAGCATCGCGGCGGCGGCGGCCGAAGGGGCTCGGGGCGCCGGGAGCTCACCGGCGTCTTGCCCGGCGGCCGGGGGAGGGGAGGGCCTGCAGGAGTCCGCCGCCTCGGGGTCGCGAGAAACTGGGCGGCGCCAGAGACAGTTGGTGCCCGGAGATGCCCAGTGCCAGACAGGGCTAGCTTCGCAGATGCCCGGTGCCCAGCCGGGCTGGAGGCCGAGATGCCGGGGCGGCGGCCGAGCGTCCGGGAACAGCTTCCCCCGGGAGTCTCTCCAGCTGTCCGGGAAGCAGGGAGCGGCAGGGGCCGAGTGTGGCGGAGGCGCCCCCAGGCACCAACAGAGGGGATCTCGCGGTCCCTGCTGCCCAAATTGCGGCGGCGAGAAGGTCGCCCGAGCCGGGGCTGGCGGCTGGCTGCTCCGTGGAGTAGACGGAGAGCGCGACTGCGGTGGGGACTCCTTCAGGCGTCGCGGCTCCACCTCCCAGGGCTGCCTGCATCAACGGGCGGGACCGCCAGCTCTCTTGTCCCCTCCCCTTGTCGCCCTCCTCTCTCTCTCTCTCCTCCCCCTCGCAGGCTAGTGCTGCGCCTTGCCGGAGACCCAGCACAGGCGCGGTAGAACAGCTTTAGTCATTATTAGAGGGTGGGGGTGAAAGGCGCGGTTAAGAATTAGGAATCTCCTGAAGTGTACCCGAAGGCTTTGCCAATGTAAATTTCTCTAGCCTCAGTGGTGGTCTCTAAGATCCCCCTGGAGCATGCGGGATCCCCCTCCTCTCTTTGTAGGATTCCTCTGCCGCTCAGTACAGCATGTCCTTACCCCCATTGCTAAGAGTGATTTTGGGTGGGTTCTTGGTGGGGCCTCCTGTCTGCACAGCAGAAAACCAGCTGAGGTGGCCCCAGCAGTGCAGTGGAAAAGTACCGTCGCCCGGTGAAGCTTTCTCCTGGGTTCTTTCAAGGTCGTGGGCCAGGCGACTACGCCTGAGCTGGGAGGCCAAGTCACTGCTCCAGTGTCTGGTAGTGCCCCTTGCTTGGCACGAAGCAGGGAGGGTAGCCTTTGAGGGTGAGGTAACCTTCCAGAGCAGTTCAGGGTGTGTGGGCATTGCAGATGAAAAGCTCCTTCTTTCTGGCCAAAGGACAGCCTCTGGGTTCTCCTGGGATTTCAAAGAGAAAACTCCTGTTTGTGAATTCCTCCAGTGTTCCCCAACACCCTAGGGGGTTTGCATTAATTATCTCAGTTGATCCTCAGGACAGCCTGGACTCAGTTAAGCGACTTGCCCAAGGTCACAAAGGCTGATAGGTGGAAAGAGGGCTGGCTCCACTCAAGCTTGGGTGACTCATGAGCTGGCCCTCACTCTTCTGAGTCCACTGTATGCTGCATGTGGTTGGGGCATTTTCCATCCTACCTGGGACGCTCCGATGGGAGCTCTTACTAGGGAGGGGTTCTAGTATGCTGGGAAAGAGACAGTGTTTCTGGGTGTAGGAATACATCTTCCACTTTCAGGATTCGTTAAGACACAAGCTCTCTAAAATCCTGAGTCTGCCCTGATGGGGGCCCAGTAGTCACCGCAGTGGGCTCTCACCTAAGCCCTTGTCTTGGCTTCAGAACGGGTCATTTGGGAAGTCCTCCTGGCCAGGCCAAAGCAAGTGACCTCCGAGAGTGGGGGCGGTGAGATGATGGTGTGATTCACAGCAACAGAGTGGCTGGGTCCATATCCTCATGGGAATAAAAGCAAAGATTGCACAGGACTGCATCACTGAATGCTTCTAAAATGACATGCAAGCAAGCAACAGGAAATTACTTAGAATTACAGAATCTTAGCTATGGAGAGGCTGCACAGATTAGCTGGTACACTGCAGCCTCATTTTACTTTTCCACATGGAAATGTCTTTATTGCCTTTGTTGATTATAAAAGTAATACATGCTTGTGGTACAAATCACACAAGAAGGACATGGACGTCTCCTGCTGTTCCCACTCCCAAGAGAAAGATGTGCCCTCATTTCTCTGTCAGAGTACAGGCTCCGAGAAGCACAATGATCATTCAGAGTGCTTTTCATGGCGCCAGATTTGCCTCTGGGGGCCAATGGAGACATTAAGCTAATCAGCTCCCTTTACAGAAAGGACTACAGGTGGATTTTGCCTGAAAGACAGCTCATTGAAAAATCCTGCTGTCTCCTGCCTTGGATCTCCTAGGTCTACCCTATGGACCGTACCCTATGGACCGTACCACATCATACTTAATTTCTTCCCAAATGGCAGGGGAATGATGGGAGTGGCCAGCAGCAAAGTGTCAATTTGCAAGGCTAAGATACCTCCAAGCTTTTGTCCAAGGCTAGCCTCCCACGACCTTGTGAAGTTGCTGTGGTTAACATATAAAGACAAGATGTTCGTTAAATTTGCATTTTAGATAAACGATAATTTTTAGTATGCCTCAAGTATTGCGTGCATTTTATCTGGGAACTAAGCTCCCTGCCTACCAGAGAACAAGAGAGATCCAGAAGCTGCAGGCAGGTGTGTGCTGCACTTGGGAGCCTCCCTAGGCTTGCTGACCTAGTCCTGGTTCTGTTCTGTTCCGTTTGCTTTTGGAAAATCCTCTCTGGGGGTTTACCCAGGACTTTGTGAGATAACAGTGTGCAATAGTCTGTTTTTATGTTAAGGGGGCTCAAAGCAGCATTTTACATGTTAGCCCTTTTGTTACCTTGTTAACCATTCCAATGGCCTCCTTGGCAGAGATTTCCCCTTCCCCCACCTCCAGGACTACTCCGCACTTCACAGCCCTCCCATAAAGCCCCAGGTTTGGTCTTCTGCTCTTCTTCCTCCAAATTTGTTTCTTTGGAGGGCTCAGCTGCCCTCAGAGCTTCCATTGTCCTTTCTATTCGGTCCATGGAGAGAGCTCCCAACTTTGCATCAGTCATTACTATTTCATAGACGGGTGTGCAGTTGGATATTTCTTCTTTTTTTTTATCATACTTAATTTTTATTTTTATCATACTTGTATTAGTTTAAAAAGTCAAATAACTGGCTTATGATTGACATAATTAAAAATAAATCAATCCTGTGCCCCATCCTTCTCCAACCTCAATTCTCACTTGCAAAGACAATCACTATTTTACACATTTTAGATGGCACTTCTGTCCTATGCCTCCCTATTTTTAAGCAACGCTTCTAATTCAGATTTTCCACTTTTTAAGACATTATCTACTGCCTCCTGGACATGGAAGATGAAGATGTAATGCCTTTTTAATCTATTGCCATTACACACATTTTTCTCCCTCCCAGTTTAGGTAGGACATTTTGCTGTTATTACGTCAGTATTCAGCGTTTAATTTTTATGACTTTGCAAATATTATTCAAAGCTGGGCCTGGAAGTGTGCTATGATTCTATTTTCCTCACTGGACAACTTTTTTGCTTTTCTGGAAGTATGTAATTGCCTCAAAACAAAAACAAAAACAAAACACCTTACAACAACTTCCTTACATACCTATCACTAATTCATTCCCCAACTGTCCAACTTGGTTGAACATACCAGGTGACCTTTCAGGTCTCCGTGTTTCTTAGGGAACCCCCATTCTGGAGGTTTCCTCTTTGGGCTCTAATCTGGACTGCTTACCCTACAGACCTGCATAGCTATTGTTCTGGGACTTTGCTCTACTACCATCCTGGGAATTTCCTTTGCCTCTTTCCTGGGTTGGATCCTGTTTTCTATTTCTGGATCCCTTTTCCCCTTTGCCTCCCCGCCCCCCATACTCCTTGGTTTATTTTCTTGTTTTGGCAGAGTATATACTCCAGTAGCTTTGACTGATAGCTCTACTGGGTGTAGAATTCTAGATTGGAAATAAATTTCCTTCAGAAATTTGAGGACATGATCCACTATTGCTATTGAAAAATCAAATGACATTCTGATACTTAATCTTGCATGCGTGACCTGGTTTTTCTCTTCAGCAGTTTCTAGAATTTTCCAGGGGTCTAAAGTTTCATAATGATATGTATTTACTGTGGGCACCTGGTGGACCTTTTAATCTGGAAATCAATCTCTTAAGCTAGAAATTTCTTTGCACTAATTTACTCTATTCCATTTTCTGTTTTATCTATCTATCTATCTATCTATCTATCTATCTATCTATTTATTTATTTATTTATTTTCTGTTTCAGTTGGATGTTGGACCTCTTGGATGGATCTTCTAATTTTTAAAATGTTCTTTTCCAGCTTTCTATTTTTAAAAAATGTTTGTTCTGTTTTCTGACATTACCTCAACTTCATCTTCCAACTTTTCTACTAGATTTTTAAATGTCTCTTCATATCATTTTTCACTTCTAAGAACAATGTTCTTATTTTTTTTTATAGCATCCTATTTTTGTTCATGGATGTAATATTATCTCCTACGTCTCTAAGAATATTATAGTTGCTTTAAATTTTTTAAATTTTTAATTGTGGTAAAATACACATAACAAAAAATTTGCCATCTTAACCATTCTTAAGTGTACAGTTCAGTATTGTTAAGTGTATTCACATTGTTGGGCAACCAATCTCCAGCACTTTTCCTCTTGCAAAATCAAAACTCTGTACCTAGTAAACAATTCTCCATTTCTTCTTCTCCCCAGCCCCTGGCAACCACTATTCAACTCTCTGTCTCTATGAATTTGACTACTCTAGATACTTTGTGTAAGTGGACTCATATAGAATTTGTCTTTTTGTGACTAGCTTATTACACTTATCATAATGTCCTCAATGTTTCTCCATATTGTAGCATGCATCAGAATTTCTTTCCTTTGTAAGGCTGAATAATAAGCCATTGTATGGATAGGTTGCATGTGGTTTATCCATTCATCCATTGATGGACAATTGAGTTGCCTCCACCTTTTGGCTATTCTGAATAATATTGCCATGAATATGTGTCCTTTGATACATGGAAGTTTTAATTTATTCGTTTTTACTTTTATTGCCTGTGCTTTGGTATCATATCCAAGAAATCATTGCCAAATCCAATGTCGTGAAGCTTTCCCCCTATGTTTTCT